TGATGTACCAGGGAATGGCAATATCGTTGCTGGAGTCACTTCTCAACAACATCACTCGTTTTTTTCAGTTGGCAAGTTGTGAAGGCATAAAATATGAACCGGTTGAGAAATATCATCAAAAGATTGTAGAAAGATTAAAGCTGCTAAAGCCAATACTCGATGCCTTTGTTGATGCTGAAATTGCTTCAGATGAAATGTTTCAAAAAGCATTAGCCAGACTCTACCAGTCTGTTGGCGAGTTGAGAGAGAGATTTGAAAAATGGCAACCGCTGATGAGTAAATTTTACTTAGTACGTGATAAGATCTATAATTTTTGTTATAAACGTAGCTTCTCTAATGCAGCCTAAATGCAAAAGTTGGAACTGAAAAAAATTGAATGGTTGGGATGCTTCTTTGATGGGATGAAATGTTTCAAAAAGCATTAGCCAGACTCTACCAGTCTGTTGGCGAGTTGAGAGAGAGATTTGAAAAATGGCAACCGCTGATGAGTAAATTTTACTTAGTACGTGATAAGATCTATAATTTTAGTTATAAACGTAGCTTCTCTAATGCAGCCTAAATGCAAAAGTTGGAACTGAAAAAAATTGAATGGTTGGGATGCTTCTTTGATGTTTTCAATGATTTATTTATGCTCACTCGAATAGAGCTTCTTATGTGCTAGTGAAATTATTTTCGTATTGCTGATGTTTGCTTGCTATTAGGTTTTACAAGTTGAATCTCTGATGACAAAGATCGAAACTTGCAGTTTGGAAATTACTGAGTTGTTGAAACCTTCTGACCAATTCGAAGCTGTTGAACTGAGTGTTGCACCCCTTGAGGTAACAGCTAGCAGTGATTTATATTTGTCCACATTTTCCAGTCTAAAATTAATTTTAACTTGTGATTGCAGCACCATGCACAGAAAATTAAGCATATGGGACATGAAGGAACATCATCGATAATCATGAAAGCGATTAAGGATCACATGGACGGTGCTGGAGCCAGTTCAGAGAACCTGGCAGTACTTACTGATATCTTGAGCTTCAAGTCGAATCAGGAAGTTCTGATAGAGGCTGTCGCCCTTGAGAAATTGAAAGAAACTGCTGAACACGCTGGAAAATGTGATGAAATTGAACATATTGATCATATGATTGCTCTGGTTACTCACATGCATGAACACCTCGTTATGGTGAAACTTTCCCAGACCTGTAACCCCGTACCAATACCTGCCTATTTCTTTTGCCCTCTCTCACTTGAACTAATGGTCGACCCTGTAATTATTGCATCTGGACAAACTTATGAGCGGGCTTTTATTCAGAAGTGGATTGATCTTGGATTTACTGTTTGCCCAAAGACACGGCAAGCCCTATCTCACACCACTCTTACTCCTAATAATACTGTGAAGGGAGTGATTGCAAATTGGCATGAGTCAAACAATATGAAGCTGCCAGATCCCGAAAAATATAGTGGGGCCAGGAGGGCCCATCATTCTACCGCAGCTGATCCAACCGTATCTTTGAGTTCTCCAATAAAAAGGTCAATCTCAACTAATGGATTCCTGCGAGAAGTTTCATCTGCATCTCATCCTCATTCATTGTCAGAGAATTCTTTATCAGGAGCTGGCATAGATGAGAATGATACTGTGGACATTGGAAGAATATCCATGAGATGTTGTGAAGACACAACAGACCACTCAGGAGAGAGAAGTTTGAACACAGGAGATAAACTCTCAATGTCACCATCTAGAGATAGTGATGCTTATGGTGAGGAACTGTCGTTTTATGGCATGATCAATTTAGACGCCTGCACACTTTCTAATTTTAACTCATCGCACGGAACACCTGGTGTTGGCAATGATGTGGCATTACAGGATGCTGCCTACTGTAGTGACGCTTCTGGAGAGCTTATTTCAGAGCCCCAACCTGCTTCTAACTTGGGAGCCCCACCAAGTGAGCCTGACTTATCATCTCGGCTCGAGACAGGATCTCATTGCCAAACAATTGGGCCTGAGGCGTTAAAGAAATTTATTCCAAGTGTAGTTGCTTCTCCTGCAGTTGAATTGAGGGCTGATTTTCTGGAAGTTGAAACTCAAGTTAGGAAGCTGGTTGAAGACTTGAAGAATACTTCCCTTGATGCACAGAAAAATGCTACAGCTGAACTTCGATTACTTGCTAAGCATGACACAGATAATCGGATTTTAATTGCTAATTTTGGAGCTATCAGCTTGTTGGTAAATCTACTGCGTTCGACAGATTCACTTGTACAGGAAAATGCTGTTACTGCTCTCCTCAACCTATCAATTAATGTTGAAAACAAGGCTGCAATTGCAAATGCTGATGCAATTGAACCCCTGATTCATGTTCTCGAGTCAGGGAGCTTAGAAGCTAAGCAGAACGCTGCTGCAACCCTTTATAGTCTCTCAGTGATTGAAGAAAACAAAATCAAGATTGGCAGGTCTAGGGCAATTAAACCTCTAGTTGATTTACTTGGAAATGGAACTTCAGGGGGCAAGAAAGATGCACTGAAAGCTCTGTTTAACTTGTCAAAATTTCGCCAGAACCAAATCCGGATTGTGCAGGCAGGTGCAGTGAAGTATCTTATAGAGTTGGTTGATCCTGCAGAAGGGATGGTTGATAAGGCAGTTGCCCTTTTGTCTAATCTTGCAAATACTTACGAGGGGAGAGTGAGAATTGGACAGGACGGGGGAATTCCTGTTCTAGTCGAAGTTGTTGAGCTGGGATCTGCTAGAGCTAAGGAGAATGCAGCTGCTTCTCTCCTGCAGTTATGCACTAAGTGTGGTAGATATTGCAAAGAGGCTCTCCTGGAAGGAGCGATTCCCCCACTAGTGGCGTTGTCGCTGTCTGGGACTATAAGAGCCAAAGAAAAGGTGCAATTATAATTTTTTTTTTTTTTTGTCTGTATTTTTAAGATTGCATATTCAATGGTTTTCGTTCTTGCAGGCTCAGGCACTTCTAAACTACATCAGAAACCAGCGACGCAGTCGTTAGGGGACTGATTTCCTTAGGAATAATGGCATGAACATATAATGAGGTATATTTTGTATCCAGTGTCTATATCAGATAATGCATATAATGATAGGATTCTTTTTTTTTTCTTTTGCTTTGATTCCTTTTCTAACTTTATATAAAGAAAAATTGATATATGAAAGACTCGATTTGTCTCTCTCTCAAAAAATGACGTATTAATACGCATAATAATATTTTGTACCTATAAGCTTCTTGTTTGGAGTTATACTGTATACTAAACATGTCATAATTTATGTCCTTCAAACTTCTTTGTCCCATTTTATGGCTAGTGCATTTTGTACTCCTCTTTGTTTCATTTCTCTATTCCCTTTTCAATCTTTCGCTTTTCTTTTTCTCCTTGTTAAAGGTCAATGAGTTTGGGTCAATATCCAACATTTAATTGGTACTTCAGAAATTTATACACTTTGACAATAATTCAACTTCGAGCATCAGTGTCCAATTGATTGTCACGTTGAACTTCAATAGTCGATAAGACTAGGATTCCCACTATTGTGGTCGAGTTTATTCGGCAAATTTTACTCTATTAGCATCACAGGATTGACGAGTAGTTGAGCCAACAAATTTTGTAATGGTAAATTAATCCATTAGTACATGTATATTAAGTTAATGCAAGCTCTTTCTCAGGGACACGTGCACTAGCCAGCATTTGCAAATCGGACGGTACACAACTTGGTTTTGGGAAGATGAGACATGCTATAATTACAGAAGATATTTGATGGAATTAATAGTTGTCTGCCTGTGATTGGTTGATACATTCAGAAAAATCCTTTGAGAGAGATATGACTTGAGCAAATGCGGGTTCGATGTAGCTATTGGATGACGAGAAAGGACGCTTTCTTTTCAATTTGAAAAAGAAAATATAAGTTTTACTAAACATGTACTTATGTTTATGCAAAATATTGCACAGAGGCCAAGGCCAGTTGCATCACACACAATGGGTAGGCCCATATTTACCTTCCCGACAACACATTATGTATCCATTAAAGATAGTATCAAACCCCCTGTCCCGACTTGGGGACAGGGTTGAAGACAGTGGCGCCCCTGTGCCTGACCCTATCCCCAGGCGACAGACATGGCACCCCTGTTTTTAACCTGTCTCCAAGCCGAGACAGGGGACTTCTATTCTAAAGACAAAGACAAACCACCCACATTTCTTTCTTAAATCTTTGCTTCACCACAAGGCCCTGTTTTTGTTCCACTTCGTGCTCAGATTAAAATTTTTTTTTATCAAAAAAAAAGATAAAATAAAATAAAATTGGCACGTTAATTTACAATTTTAATCTGAGCACGAAGTGTACTCAGATTAAAAAAAATTTTTATAAAAAAAAAAGATAAAATAAAATAAAATTGGCACGTTAATTTACAATTTTTCTTACTTTTAATTATAACTTTTCCAAAAAAATCTTAATCTACATCAAACGGGCTAATAAAATAAACTTGTATTTTTTCGTTCTCTTCAATACTATTTTATAAAATATTAATACTTCCATTAAGATGGTTAGTATTTAAAATCTATGAAATAACAGTAATGTTAGGTGTACAACCCCTACCGATACCAAAAAGGGGTGAATTATTATTTGGCTTTTTTTATTTGGGTAAGCCGCACGTCATTGTGAGTTTTTTGACAGGGTTCTGTTCTGCTTTGGTAAAAATGGAAAAATTGATGAAATAATATTCTCCAACGTATCTCAATTGTGATGTATTCGTGATATTCCTGTCAATGTTTTAAATTCTTAATGAATATCCATTCGTATCTGCCAAAAAAATTTGTTTTCTATAGTTCCTACTCTTTTCAAGTTTCAACTGCCCCTTTATTTTTACTATTTGGGTTTCTTTCTGATATCTTTCAGCCATAATATAACTAATTCCAACATGCAACTGCTACATGAATAAAAAATTACTAAAATGATTTAGCAGCAGTAAAGTAATATTTCTGACTTTGCCCACATATATATATTGATATACATGTGTTTAAACTAACTTAAAACCAAACAAGAAGCCGATTCTAAGTAAACTTATCATCTTCACATTCTCTCTCTACATTTAGAGTGAAAGAGAGAAGCTGAAACATTTTCAAGAAAGATCATCAGACTTTAAATCTACCAGAGATCACAGCCTTTATTTATTTTTATTTTTTATGTGAATTGTTTTTTGGGAGGCTAAATCATGGTGGGAATTTTCTCAAGATTTTCTGTCAGCAAAGCTGGTCATCGGAGGACTCAAAGTGCAATTGTAACACTTCTCTCTTTCTAAAATTTCTTGAATTAATTTTTTGTTTTATGAAGTGGGTTGTTTCCGTTTAATCTGATAATTTCTATAAATGATTATTAAATTCTGGGTTGATTTGTTTTACTTAGGTTTTTGGATTTATACTGTTCGTGTTTGGAAAGTTTAGAATGTTAAGATAGTAGATGTGCATTGACTTGTTCTGCGGGTTTCTTGATCTCTGATTTTGGATATGATTATTAAGCCCCCGTTTTGATTACCATTCTTTGACCACAAAAATGAAGAATATAACCATTAAGTCACCATATTTGACTTTTTATCTGTCGTGTAGTCCCGTAACGATTATATTTTTCATTCTCATTCTTAAATATATGGGAATCAAATAGGGAAAATTCTTTTAAGAACTTGTTGGGACTTAGTTTCATCCCAAAAATTACCTATTAGTGAAGTATCCAATAGTAGTGACCATCTCGATGGTTAGCCAATGCGAATTTTGTTCACAGGCACAGGCACACGGGCTTTACGCATTCCACAGGATTAGATAAATATCCCTTCAACACAGCATAGGTCATCGAAAGATTGATTTCGTACACTTCGTCCAAAGAGAAAATGGATCAAATTCTACAGGATCAAACCTATGGGGTTGAACCAATTGGGAGAGAATCAATAGATTCCTTTTCGGGAGCGATACTGCTTGTTGGGACATGGCTTTATCCCAAAAAGTTTACCTGTCAGGTGGACTACGCAATACCATCCCATGTTTAGCCGGGTCGGACTTGTACATTTCAAACATAATTTTAGATTACTCTTGAGCTACCATCTTTTGCTTGGAGCAGCATCGGGTTACTAACTTCCCGAGGATTTCAGCTAATGGTACTGGAATCATTTTAGCAAATTCTAGGTATCCAGTCTGTTCTTTACTTGAACACTCAGTTTGAACAAAGCCTATCAAATACTTCTAATTGGTGGTTAAACAATGTATAAGTAGGTTTATGCTGAAACATAATTGTATAGAAAATTTGTCGATTTATTGGTCATCTATAATCATTCACTTGATTCTTCTTTACTATTTGATGCATTATTGAAGATATTCTCCTATACGTCATTGGTTATGTGAACATTTTCAGCTGTCTAAGTGCTTATGGTGAGTTTTTTAAATGTGCAGGATGAAAGGGAAGTATTGCCTTCTAGTTCTGAGGTGACAGGTGCTGTTACTGCAGCTGCAGCTGCCACACACGGTATTGAAGTTGCTGTGGAATTCAAGCCAGTTGAACACCCAACTGAGCCTCTTGACAATGATCAACCAATCCAGTGCCCATTACCCGAACCGTCGATTCTTAATGTGAGCTTGACTTCTTTTGATCCTTAGAATTTTAATGGTAAATAAACAAGCATATGATTTCAAGCCAAACAAACATTTTGTGTCTTTTGGTTGCTGATTTATGAAATGCTACCTCCTTAAGTTCCATTTTCCATGTCAAGCATTTTGCCAGAGTGTTTAGCCATTTGTCTACTGTATACACTGGTTAACTATGCAGTTTTAGACTTAGCGCGGCATTTGTATAACCTTCTTTGATGGGATTGTTTTTGGACGTACGGATGGTAGGGACATCTTTTTTGCATAGACTAAAGAAGCTGACGTGAAATAAGAGTAATACTATCTCGATAATACAAGCTAAAAAGAGAGGGATGGACTAAAACTAACTCGTTTTTTGTAATTGCTAGATCTAGCTAATAAACAGAAAGAAATGGAGAAAAAGGATTCATGTAGTTGACTTGAAATTTATTATCAACGAGGCTTAGTTTGTTGTTGACCATGTCAGGCTTGTATTAGTGACAGCAATGTTCCCATTTATTGACTTCAGCATGATATCAATTCGTTTGTCTAATTGTCTTCTATAGAGTTATTGTCTTGCGAAAATGAAAATTAACTTATTCCAACATTCAAAGACAAAAAATACTTATTCTAACTGAACCTGAGAAGGGCTTTGTTCGATTTATAGCTATCCTTCTAAAAGATTCAAGCAAATCAATTTTTATGTCAATCTTGGTCTGCCTCTTTAACTTTTTAGTGGAGTGTACCCCTCTTGTGAATGGAAGCTTATTTAGGGGAACACAAGATATTTTACTATGTGCAAACCCAGAATACTTTTCAGCCTAAAAAGTTGTCATTCTTTACTTTTTAAGATATCAAGCTTTGTATCTATTTATCATAATCACAATTTGTTTGCATGAGATAAGTTGATAAGCTCTGTTGTCGTTATTGTTACATTACTTTCTAACGTTACAGTGAAGTCACTGACAAATATATCTTGTAGTTCCATAAACTACAGATTTTCTTCTCTCTTTTGTGATCGGCACATGATATCAGGGGTTCGAAGTCTGTTCAAAGCTACTTCTTTTCTGTTCTAGTGTGATAATGAGACTTCGTGTTTTACATATGAATACTCTTTCAGTAATATCCAATGGGTGAAACCTTGCTTTTTTCGCTCTTAAGATTTTCCCCTGTATTACTCTTGAACTTTCATTTCAGTATTGAACCTCAATGTGTAAAAGAGAGAGGAAAGGAAATTTTTGAAAAATTAAACAGTTGAAAATTCGAGACCTCTTTAAGTTACGGTACAATAAAAAGTTCTTATATATTTGGATTTGGGGGCAGTTTGATGATTGTTTAGGTCATTATAGTCGGCAATGACGATATGATACGATTTCTCCCCCAAAACACCTAACAATTAATCTTTTTTTATTTGGTCATCAGGATGGAAGAATATGGAAGGAACGAGTGTCTTCAGGCGTTCAAAGGAGGACTGATATGCCAATCATTCCAAACCCACCAACTCCTGTAGAATCCGTAACTTCTGGAACAAAACCTCGGCCCCCTAATCGCGTTATTCTGCCATCAGTCAGTGCCCCAGAGCACAGCATCCTTAAGCTGCTCGAAGAGTCTGGTATCTAAACTTAAACATCAATTTATCATAATTGGAATACTTTCTCATAATATTTGGTTAAAGCTGGATTTTGTTCTGTTCTCACCCTTTTAAGCTTCGTTTTTTGTTCACATTTACGACCAGTTATGTATTTTATGAAAGACATGTTCAAACCCCATGTATATTTTGAGAAATGATGGCAGTTTTATTTGTATTGAGGATGTAAGAACAAATACAAGTTGTACATATCATGATTGACATATAATCCTAAACAAAATGTAAAACTCTAAACCATTCTCAAGAACATAGATGCATATCCAAAGCTGAATTACATCTGATATACATGCAACAGGGAGACTGGAAACAAGACATGCATACATAGAATTAGCATAAACCAAGGTATCGAAACCTTAAACAGGCAATTTGGGAACTTGAAATGGATGCTCGAAAGTGGGATTTACGAGGCGTCCCCGAGGTCCCCGGGAACTTCCATGATTCATCCATGGCTTCCTTTGCCACCTCCACCCTAACTCTTCTTTCCCGTGACCGCTTTTTGAAGCCCAAGTTGAACTCAAAATGATGAGCAAAAGAAAAAGCAAATTTAATATGGCTTTCAGTTTCGCCATTGTGATTTGTTAGCTGCCACAAGAATGGTGGGATTGGGAGAAGTAATATAGGGAAAGAGGATTAACTTTCCTTTGTTTGGAAGTCATATGGGAATCATTTTGTCTCTTTGGGATTGGTTTTCTTGGTGCCTGGTGGGGTTAGTTCTAATGGTGTCGTTGTCATGATTCTTTTAGAGAATTAATTGAGGCACTCAAGTGAAGGTGGAATGCTAATTGATTAATATTGTCAAATTTGGCATAATATTCAATCAATGTGACACGGAGGAGTTGTTAAACAAGCATAATTTTTTACGTTTATGACGATCTAACCCTTGTTTGACCTTATAGCATATTGGTTTAGGTGTTCAGCTTGGTACCTTAGTCATCCTATATCGAGCCATCTTAGAGTTGATTTATCCGATATATCTAGTCTATTGATTTTGACCCTAGCCAACTTCATGTCCATTCATATTCATTTTGTGTTTTTGAAGAATATTGCTATTATTGCAAGTGTTTTATGCCTAAAATCATTTACTTAACCACCTAAAAAATAAAAGTAAAAAGAATCATAAAAAGTTGAAGAAAAAAATAAAATAAAAAAGGTAGAAAGAACATTTCCTATATGAAATCATAAGGCTAGATTTTTGTTTTTATTTAAGCCTTTGTTTGAGTCCCATTATTTCCATCAAAATACATTTTTCAACGATAATTTGATTCCATTTTAACCACACGTTTTTCATCAAAATAATATTAAATGCAAATTCAAAACTTTTATTTATTTTTAACTACACATTTTCATCAATACACTATTCGAAAATGCATTTTTTGGTAAGAATGGGGCTCAAAAAAGGGCTAAGTGTTCACTATAAAAGTGCAAACCGCTGCACAGGTCACGTTCAAGCAATCAGTAGACTTTTTGAGTTCGAGTCTAGAGGAATGTATACTTTCAATTACACAACTTTAATTAATTTAATTCTAATAATAAAAACAAATAACAATGAAGATTTTGACTTTGGAAAATAACTAAAAATCTAACAAAAATAAGAAAATATAAATATTTTGAGAATTTCGGAGAAAAACATGGTTGTGATTCATGATTTCGTTTATGCGTCGTCTAATTAATTTTTACAAGTCAATTAATAAAATACTCATTTATGATGTTAGACACTATCTTCCAATTTTAGTTAATTACTGCTATTGATTGACATAATCATAATTAATTAGTTTAACCTACTCTATCTCTATATTAATTAAAACCAAATAATCGCATTAGATCTTTCTGAAAATAACTCAATGAGTCACATGGGGTTACGGGTATATATTTACGGCCTGTTCGGTAATGATTATGAGAATTATTTTTTGACTGTTAGAGAAAAAAGTGAGTCCACCTATGAGTAAAGAAGTAAAAATTTATGGTCGGAATAATGAACTAATGATAAAAAAATAATTTTTTAAGGTGAAAAATTGCTACCAAATGGTGGGCCTATGCCCTACACAAGCCTAGGGTTTTTACTATTTGATCTAAAGTGCTCAGTCTTCTTTCAAACGATGTACAAATCACTAAATATAATCATTCATTAGCTACATAAATGAAAGTGCAAAAAAATATAATTGTAGATACACATGAAAATAAGCATTTTAACATTAAAAATAAAAAATATTAAAATTAATTAAAGTTAGGTTGAGTTCATCCATAAATCTCTACAAAAATACTTAACCCATGTTATATAAATAATAAAGAAGAGAAAATACAAATTTATGGATAAAAGTCCTTTTTGAAGCTTGGCCCTAACTTTCTTAAATCTTTCTCCTCCTTCCTTAATGTATTTTCCCTTTGGTCTAGGTTGTGCCCCGAAAATACCAAGAAAAATGGAAAGAAAAAGCAGAGGAAAGAAAAAATGAAAAATGAAAGAGTAATGCTATTTAACTCTAATGGGGTTGCAATCTCAGTTCAGATGACGAGCTAATGTGACATTAAATGATGAATGACATTAAATTATTCATTTAATTTCACTTTTCATTCAACCATTATCTAACGCTAACTAAATTGGGGTTACAATTCCGATATGGTTATATAGCATTATTCGAAAGGAAAACACGAAAAGACAAAAGGAAACGAAGATGACCAGGGAAACGAAGCCCGTTTAGGGTTCTAAGTTTTAATACCCTTTCCCAAAAATTGCAGCCCTGACTCCGAAAGTTTTAAAATCTAACCAAAACGGACCTTGAGCTTAAAGTGGCCCCGAGGTGTCGCTTCTCTGCCAAATGCTTCTTGTTTTCATTTTTTTCTTTTTGCACACAAGTCTTCTAACAATTTGTACTCAAGTTATTATTGTACAATTTGGTCAATAGATTTTGACTTTCATTTCAATCAAACCCTTCATAAATTGCAGTCCAATATTCTTCAACTTTCTAATTTGTGCACTTTGGTCCCCAACTTCACAAATTTGTATGCTTTTGGTCAATTTTCATTTCTTTTAGTCTTGTTCTCTTTCCTTTTGTGATATGTGACCTACAAAAGCCAAAATTTCCCAATTATGAGTTGATATTCACTCTTCTCATCAATAATAAGCATATTTAGAAATTAAATAAGTGTGCAAAAGCACAATTATCATCAGCCTATAGGGTTCACATTTTTATTTGCATTTGCAGTATGATGACTTTTTGTTCGTCCTATTAATATATTGGCAGAGGGTCTATCGCAATATTCGACTAATTTTGATATTATAAAAGTAATTTAAAACCAAATTGAACTATTAAATAATTTTCCTTTATAAAAAAGAAAAAGAATTATATTGTCATAATTTTTTTTCAATTTAGTCATTAGTCAATTACAAGTTACAAAATAATTAAATGTGTCTTGGTGGGCAATAGACATAGATAGTGTCATTAAAAAAATTTCTCTTAGTTTATCTTTGTGCTAGACATTCATCGGAGCACTATCTGATAGAAATTAACAGCTACCTCTTTGAATATGGGAAGGTTGAAACGTGTTAGAGGGATTGATGACTACTGACTTCTTCCATAGTCGAGCAAAAGTTGACTTAGCCACCGCTATAAAAGTGAACATTTGGAGGAATGAATCATTAGCTCATCTTTCATGGATATTTATGTATGTCACTGTCGAGTGATGGCCCTCCATGGATTTACCTATATAAGTCACGATTAAAGTTGCAAAAATAATAGCTTGAATACCACTTATAAATAATCTAAAGAACATGACAGGTATAAGAACGAGTGAATGTTCTTCTCAAAATTTCACACGTGTAATACATGTTCCTTCTATTTCTCCAATTAAAGCTCGCATAAAATTGCGATATAATAGTGGATTGCTCGGGATTCAAACCCGGAACTAGTTGGATGGAGTAGATAATTTCCTTGGACGAATCTCGGGATTGGACACCATGTCAAAGAAATTTTAGATGAAAATATTCCTTAGGGGGACGATTGGAACGATGGCATGAGGGTGTCTTTATGACAAGGTGAATAATTCTCATCATTTTCAATTAAGCCTTACTTTAACTTTTTATAGGGTTATTACTTCCATAGTAGCTCCACATTCTTTATATACTTGTGCATTCATAGTACAAGACTTTACTATTCAAACTGCATTATGTACTCATCGTCAACATATCGCATAATTCATCACGACAAAACCTGCTAGATTCAAGCATATTGCACTTTTTAGTTAAGAACAATGTAAATAGATAGTAACTGCATTCATAAGGCACTTGTCGAGTCTTTGTGAGAGGAAATTAATTATAATTTTGACCTTCTATTTGATGGATATTAAAGATCTTTAGTAGATTTTGATAAATGTTGACGAAATATGTGATTAAAAAGTTGTGGACGATAGAATATGTATAGTTATGATTGACCCCATGGTTTAAGCTCTGCACTGTTCTCATTTTTTCTTACAAGGGTCATTTTTATGTTTTAAGGATCATATTTTCAAGAGTTCAAACTGCATGTTCAAATATTTTTCATTGGTCTAAACAATTCCACTTCTCACGTATGATTTCTTTCTATTTTGGTCATCATTACTTTGCTGACTGTCTTTAAGATATTTTGTATAACGTCAACAGTCACGTTGAAAGCGAAATATTGTCTCATGTTTTGTGAATCTTTAGTTATCGCATTATCCACATTTGATTGATCAAGTTCTTTTGCTATATTTTCACGACTGAATTGGAACTATCAGTTTAACTATGAATCTAGACAAAAAAATTAGACCGAACTTGCCAATCAACTGATAAAATCGGGAATCGAACAAAAAATCTATCTAAGTAAGTCATTTAACCATTAACTATAAAACATGTAACTAAAAACTAACCAAAAATCAAGTTTCCCCAAATTTTACGGTTCTTATAATTTAAGAAAAGAAATTGAACTCAAGTCTGAAGAGTGATATTTTGTCGAAAAGAAATTGTGTTTTTGAGGGCCAAGACTGCAAATTCTAAAACTTAGTGGGTTGCTCATCTTATTGCTATTTTTACTCCCATGCCAACCCTCCACTTTCACATTGTGGGGGACTACATAAAATACTAGCAATTGTATTCTAATGCAATAATGCAAAACTTCTTCAGTCTTTACTAACCAATTTGGTTGAAGACATTCATTTTCTTATTTTTAATAAGATAAATCAAGTGGACGAATTGATTTTATTTTTGTGATGTTCAATCAAATTACAAAGTAATAAACTTTCTATTAACAGACAAGAATTTGCATTGGATCTAAGTTAGTTATGTGAAAATTTAACCTTAATATCGTCGTTAGTATTTATAATATATACAAATACATAATAACTTATTTATTTTTGACATTCGATTCTAATTTTGCAATTTCCTTGTTTTAACGTAATGTTAGCACTTAATAAGTAAATAATATTAGTCTTTTTATCAAGTGATCATCATTAGTATAATTTTAGAAACTTAAGGTGATAATTATTTTAAAAAATAACTCCAATAATCATTAGTGTATGATAATTGACGCAATTAACCCTATTTATTGAAAAATTACAATTTTCTTTGTTTTGGAAATTAAAATTCAAGCTTCTTGTTAGAATTGGTAATTGAATTAGAACTATTCGATTGCCTTGGCATTCCTAATATGTAGGTCAAGACATCTTTGTTTATCAGAGTTTGAAAAACCAAGCTCTCACACAACATCATTGTTCCTTTTTCGTTTATTGTTTCGATAGTTGGGAACGTCTTTGTAGAATCAAAATATATCAGCAATCACAATGCCAACCATCAAATATGATATTAGACTTCTCAAAGATTTGATGAAACGATGTGTATCCATCCCAAACTTTTATATTACACGGAAATTCACACTCGAAAACAACCCTAATTGTTCGTTTGGTATGACATAGGCATATCAATGCTTTTCTTTTCTTAGCTTTTCATTTTTTTTCTCTCTCGTTATTTCAGTCCAATTTTAATTAGAACGGAATCGAACCGTTATTTCATTCTGGGTGGTTAAGATGAAAATGGTGAACGCTAATGTAACGTGACTAACTAACGTGCACCGTCATCCTTTCTTTCGCGAGAAGAAAGGCACCTGGCCTTCACCCACGTATATAAGTCCACCTCCGCATTCTGTCTTTTCCCTTTTATCTCTCCACACTTCTGTAGGTAGTCCTCCATAACTCTCTGTAGCATACAACGGATTCAGAGCACAAAATCGTAGTAGAAGGAGCGATGGCGGCACTACAGTATCTTGACACCCTGAGGAATACTCACCCGGAGCTTTCTGAGTGGTACAACACGCTTGCAGATCTGTACCAGCGCAAACTCTGGCACCAGCTCACCCTCAAGCTCGAACAGTTTGTCGCCCTCGCTGTCTTTCAGGTCCCAATTCCCAAACATAGACGTGAACTGAAATTCGCGTTTTATGGATTTGATTATTTTTTATCTGAATTATTTGCGATGTTTATTGGCTTTTAGGTTTTGTTTCTAGTCAGAGGGATACTTGGTCATTCTATGGATTCGGGGAATTGGGTTTTGTTCGAATGCTAGGGTTTCGGGTGTTTCGAGTAGGGTTTGGGGTTGGGATTTTTTTTTTAAAATTTATTATTGGGTTGTATATGGAGATTTATTTATTTATTTTTATTTTTTGAAAATTGGAAAATTTTCCTTCTTTTTCCCTGACGTTATATGCGAACCAGCTGTTGAATAAAACTTTCAATACTAGAAGTCTATGGGAAAATATTGGAGAAATTCGACAAAATTTGCAATGCAAAATTTGGATTTTTGTTTTGCCTTAAGTCAAGATTTAACAAAAATGGCAGCATTTTGATGTGCAAAGTTTGAATGTTTGTTTTGCGTTGATTCAAAATTTGACAAAATTCATGAAATTTTGTTATGTGGAGTTTGTCTGTTTGTTTCTTCTTGATTCAAGATTTAAACAAAATTAATGGCATTTTGATTTGCGACATTTGGTTGTTGTTTTTGTCTCTGGTCAAGATATAACAAAGTTAATGACATTTGTCATGCGAAGCTGATTGTTTTGTTTTGAGTCGATATTTAACATAATTCATGGATTATTTATTTATTTATTTATTATTATTATTATTATTATTATTATTATTATTATTATTATTATTAGTTTTGTCTTGATTCTTCTTTGCAGGTATTTGCTATTAGGGGTTAGTTCGAGGTGCTATATGGTTGAATGAGAAGATAGTGTGTTGTCATCAGCTCTGCAAATATTATTTATTTGTCTACTGATTTAAGAAATCTTTGAACATACTAATCTCCATTTCAGTTTATGAATAACCTAGTACAAAAAATAATATTATTCCATTATACAGGCCATTGGAAAATCATTTGTACAGAAAAAAGTATTTGTTGTGTATGAGTAATGGCGTGATAAGACTCTAAATGGAAAACGAAACTGAACTTGAAATAGATGATTGATTGAACTGAAAAGAACAAAAATTACAGATATGAAAATGATTACGGGACTCCTTTTCACACTCAATAATTGCCTGCCTATTATGCTCCCTTATGTTCTTATTTATAGCCCACTCCTAACTACTTCACCCTTTGCCATTTGCTGCCTAACAGAATTCTGTTTCTACTGCCCACCTTCCCCCTTCAGTCTTCTAGAATATGTAAACCGTATTTGGGGTTTATCAATACCCCCAGGGTCCAAAGACACCTTGTCCTCAAGGTGGAAGTTAGGAAATTGTTGGCGTAATGTTTCTGCCGACTCCCAGGTAGCTTCTGATGGAGGCAAATCTTTCCACTGTATAAGTACTTCCTTGCTTAGACCCTGCCCTGCTGTAGAACTCCTAACCCCCACGACTTGTTCAGGTTTAACCATCCACTCCAGGTGCTCGGTTAGGTGAGGAGGAAGTAGTTGACTTACTTCGTTTGACCTCAGAGCCTTCTTCAGCAGAGATATATGGAAGACAGGGTGTATGGTTGCAGCAGGGGTTAGTTGTAAATGGTAGGCGACCGGCCCCACCCAATTTATAATCTCAAACGGTCCAAAGTACTTAGGCCCCAGCTTTTCGTTCTGCCTTCTTGCCAATGAATGGAGGCGGTACGGCCGTAGCTTTACATACACCAATTCCCCTACTTCAAAATGTAATTCCCTTCGATGTTTGTCAGCCTCTGTTCTCATTTTGTTCTGAGCTTTAAGGAGATGTGCTTTAAGTTCGTCTAGCATGCTATCCCGGTCCCTTAGTTGCTGCTCCACAGAATCCACTGTTGTCTTCCTGCTGCCATAGCGGATTAACGGTGGTGGTTTTCTCCCATAGACCGCCTTGAACGGGGTAGTGTTGGTGGATGTCGGGAAAGTGGTATTATACCAATATTCCGCCCAAGGTAGCCAAGTGGACCAGGTTTTGGGCTTATCGTATGAGAAACATCTCAGATAGGCCTCCACGCATCTATTCACCACTTCGGTTTGCCCGTCGGTTTGGGGGTGGTAAGCCGTACTTCGCTTGAGGTAAGTACCCTGCAGTTTGAATAGTTCCGTCCAAAATTGACTTAAGAATATTTTGTCCCGATCAGAGAGGATAGAGCGAGGAATTCCATGGAGTCGCACTACCTCCTTGACGAAAATTGTTGCAACACTAAGAGTGTGTTTGATTGACATGGAAAATATCACCTAGAAAAGAAAATATTTTCCATCTTTTGTGGAAAATAAAAATCACCTCTATCCAAGGAAAATATTTTCCTTAAAAACAAGGAAAATTAGGCATATTTTCAAAAGTTGGAAAATGTTTTCCAGGGAAAAAAATAGCAATCAAACACTCCAAGTACAAATTTGGATGAAAAACTAATATTTTCCATGGAAAATAAATGTAATCAAACACACCCTAAATGTTGTGAATGGATGTCTCAGTGGTAAGAAGTGCGCATATTTACTTAAGCGGTCAACGATCACCAGGATGGAGTTAAACCCATTTGACTTAGGAAGTCCCTCCACAAAGTCCATTGAAATATCCTCCCATATCAGATTGGGGATGGGAAGAGGTTGCAAGAGCCCGGCTGGTGAGAGCGCACTAGTCTTATTTTGCTGGCACATAGGGCATTCTTCCAAAAACTTCCGAACATCCTTCCTCATCCCTGTCCAATATAGATCGCCGGTCAGCCTCTTGTAAGTCCTTAAGAATCCTGAGTGCCCCCCTACAGCACTATTATGAAACTCCAGTAGTAACTTAGGAATTAATGGTGATGTGTGGGAAAGTACCAATCTCCCTTTATACAATGATTTTCCTTGTTTGACCGAATACCTGGGGTGCGCTTCCGGTTGTCCTGCAATTCTTTCTTAATTTTAGACAACAGTGGGTCACCTTCGACTTGCGCCTCAATCATCTGTACATCCAATGTTTGTGGAAAGGTGAGAGCTTTTAACTCGACTGGGCCGGAAATTCGAGACAATGCATCTGCTGCCGTGTTCTCAATCCCAGGACGATATTGAATTTTGAATTCATATCCCATCAGCTTGGTTATCCAGCGTTGGAACTCCCCAGGTACTGTCCTCTGCTCAAGGAGATATTTGAGGCTACGTTGATCAGTGTGGACGATAAATATCCTTCCTAGAACATAGTGCCTCCACTTCTGTATAGACAGCACAATTGCCATTAATTCCTTCTTGTAAATGGATTTCTGTTGGGATCGACTGGATAGAACCTGGCTAAAAAATGCAATGGGTCGTCGATTCTGCATAAGAACCGCCCCCAGTCTATACCCCAAAGCATCGGTCTCAATAACGAACGGTTGTGAGAAATCCGGGATTGTGGTCATGGCCCTTTTTAGATTCAGGAAAGCTGCCTCTGCCTTATTATTCCACCCAAAGGCGTCGTTCTTCAACTGATCAGTGAGGGGTCGTGCAATGGTTCCATATCCTGCCAGAAATCTCCTATAGTAGCCAGTCAATCCTAGAAAACCTCATAATTTCCAGATATTACGATGAACAGGCCAATTACTCATGGCTGCAATTTTGTCTGGGTCGGCTTTCACACCTTCTGCTGAAACAAGGTGCCCCAGATACTCTATTTGTTGTTGGGCAAAGAGGCATTTCCTTTCATTGGCATATAGTTTGTTTTCCTCCAAGGCTGAGAAGACAAGGTCCAGGTGTCGTTCATGTGCTGGTAGATCTTTACTGTACACCAAAATGTTGTCAAAGAACACAAGTACAAACTTCCTTAAGAAATTTCGGAATACCTGACTCATCAATGATTGAAAAGTTGCCGGGGCATTAGTAGGCCGAACGGCATTACTAAGAACTCGTAATGACCTTCGTGGGTCCTGAATGCAGTTTTTGGCACATCTTCCTTCCTTACTTTGATATGATGATACCCAGACTTTATGTCCAATTTTGAGAATATCGTTGTTCCATGAAGCTCGTCCAGTAACTCATCGATCACTGGAACGGGAAATCTTTCCGGTATTGTTGCTTTGTTCAGAGCCCGGTAGTCCACACAAAAACGCTAGCTACCGTCTTGTTTTACTAGTAACACGGGACTTGAAAATGGGCTGATGCTAGGTTGAATTATCCTTGCAGCTAGCATCTTCTTGACCAACCTCTCGATCTCGATCTTCTGGAAGTGTGGGTATCTGAAAGGCCTTACACTGATTGGATCAGTCCCAGCCTTCAAAGAAAAAGCGTGGTCCAAGCCCCGGGCAGGAGGTAGCTCTCTTGTTTCTGTGAACACCTGCTTATGTTGTTGTATTAATTTGGACACCCCTTCAGGTATTTCTTCCTCTTTGCCCATTAAAGCTCCACATTCTGCAGGTTGCTCCATTTCTACCCACAATCCTTGGCCCTCTTTCAATAGGGCCTTCACCATCTCTCTCAGGGACACCGCAGATTTATTCAATCCTTGGTCTCCTCTCAGTGTCATCCAAGTTTCCCCCATCCGAAACTTCATGGTTAGCAATTTCCAATTCACCTCCATGAAACCCAAACTCCCAAGCCACTACATCCCCAATACTATGTTGGTGCTGCCCAACTCTAAGGGCAAGAAATCTTCCACAATGGTTAGCTCTTGCAATTTCAGCACTATTCTTTTGCAAATCCCTCGTCCAGTAACCGATTCCCCTATCCCCATGATGACCCCGTAGCGGTTTATGGCCGTAGTCGGCAAACTTAACCTCCGTACCACCTCTTGCGAGATAAAATTGTGGGTTGCCCCACAGTCGATGAGCACAACCACGTCAGTGGGCCCAACTATCCCCTTGAGCTTCATGGTTCCGGGAGTAGTCAGCCCAACCACTGAATTAAGGGATAATTCGATTTTCTCACCCATCTCCAGTGGAATTTCCTCCGCCAGACCCCCATCTGCATCTTCGTCTTCCTCGCCTTCCTGGACCAGTAATACCCGCAATTCCTT